GACCTACATAAATTACACCGGAAGTTATTCAACCGGAAGTAGATTTAAAGTTCAGTCGCTTTCCTGTTGAAAATCGGAAATGACGTACAAAATTTGACTGTATCATATTATTAACATTAGTGAAGTCTCTTTGCATTTAAAATTTCAGATCAATCGATGCAAAAGCAAAAAAGTTGCAAAAAAATCGAAAAATTTGATCGAAAAAAGTGAGCGACGAATTTTCGAATTTCGTAATTTTTCAAGTGCTATCAGGTCAGAAATTACAGGTAGATTGTAAAAATGAAAACCCGAAGAAAATCGATGCAAAAATGCGCCTTCTAGAGCCGATTTTCGACTTTTTGCACATGTTGAACTGTGGCACTTCCGGTTTTGCAAAAATGTTCCAATTTATATTTATGCACATCGTCACCTATATAGAAGGTCTATGAAATTCGAAACGTTACTACAACTACTGCAGTCTAAGCTCGAGAAGGTGTGGACGAAACGAAAAAAAAAAAAAAAAAAAAAAAAAGAATGGACATTTCGATAACAAACTGGGACTTTGCGGTAGCAAAGTCCCACAATAACTTTATTAGAAACCCAGTTTCCCTAAGATCTTCCACATACAACTACAATAACATATTTACAAAATGATAACGTGATAAAAATTGAAAATAGAAATAAAATAGAAAATGAATGAGGGTCACATTAAGGTGATTTAAATATATGTAAAAAGGAAATGAAATAAAAGTAATCTTTACAACATTAAAGATAAAAAGATATCTAGTCTCTCTATTATCGTAGATCACTTTTCAGCCCTGTTTTAAAACATTTGGGTATATAGAATTAATATTTTAAACAATGTAAAGTACCTAATGTAGTAACTTATGCAGAATGCGTAATACGGAGTGTCTAATACAGATAACCCAATTCAAAGTGTTCAATGCAAGCCGCATTCGTGAGGCATTTCATTGGATTTTGAAGTAAAAATATACATTTTGCATTTTAACACATTGTTGGACTTCCTCACGTTGTGTCTTTGAAGGTAAATGAAGGTAAAGTACGTGCGATGTTTAAGCACTGTTTATTACAATTAGAAATATAGCGGTCAGCAATACCAGACAGACGACTGAGCAGCTCGGTATCCTCGAAACATACTAACTAAGATATTCTCGTCGCCGTCTGATATAGCCAAACCCATACAAAAAATACAATATAAAATAATAATAGCATAAAGAGAATAAAAGAATATGATAAGTTATATTGATCATGTTTGCTTTTCCCACAGACCCCTAAAACTATAGTTAAACATATTACCAAAAAGTATTATTATATCCATTAGGATTATCTTATGTAGGTATTGTTAAAGCCATTAGGATTACCTCGGAAAGTATTGTTACGATACATGTTTTCAGGTGAGCTTCAGGTCAGCGGTCGTAGACCTGTCACCTGGACAAATAATGTTAATGGAAGGGTCTGTGAGGAACAATATGTGTGAACTTTGTTTCACACTATTAAACAAACAGTAAGAAAATTGGTATTTTCTTACACACGCCCCTGTTTCAAGTGTGAAACAAGGGTAAGAATAATGAAATACACAATAAAGTTCGTCTAGAGTTAATAAGCTAATTGTCCTATATACAACAGTTGACCCTGTCAACTTCTTTCACAGTTCAACTCCCATTTGAATTGGCACTCGAGTGGCTTTGGTCACTGATTCACATTATGATTATCTGTTGTCTGTCACGTACGGTCTACCATATCATTGGTTTCAGTTCGTTGTTGGTAGCTAGTGTACATCGTTCCTGTTCAACATGTTGGATTCGTTGGCTGGATACAAGAAGTCTACTGTAGCTAGTTTTTCGCTTCTGCGTGGTAATCGGGTATCTACCATATTCTGTGATTAACATATTTGTGATTGGATATGTATTATGTCGT